CTTGGACCCTGGCGGCTCCTTTTCCCGCTCACGTGACCCCAGTGAGGACCAGGGGCTAGCTTTCCGGCCTGTGCGGTTAGCTTCAACTCCTTCCAGCTCTTCTGGACCTCTGTGCGCAGCTACACCCCAATTCAGCCTCCTATTTTTATGTACTTTGAAGATTTTATTTTCTCTCCCCTCTAGGCTCTTGCTAAATACGGCTGCTCTCCCTCTACCCCAAATCCTAACCCCATTTTTGCCCTATTATTCTTATCTGTCCAACCAGCACCTCTAAGTTGTTTGGTCCCATTAGCCTTCGTGCCTCCCTTCCAGATCATGACATAGCCAGTTGCTTGTCCCGGCTACTTTTGTTTTATGAAAGACACACATGCTTAAAAATGAAGACATGAAGATTTTGTTTGAAAGCAAGTGTGTGGTTAATGTATGTGTGTCTGAGAGAGAGAGAGAGAAGAACACGGATTCACTTCTCAAATGGCCATAATAGCCAGTGCTGAGCCAGACCGAAGCCAGGAGCCAGCAAGTGTGGAAGCTGTCCTCAGCTGCTTTCCTAGGCAGCTGGATTGGAGGTGGAGCAGCTGGGATTCTGAGCTCATGCTCTTGATATGGAATGTTGGCATCTTAAGCAGCGGCTTACCCTGCTGCACAGCAACACTAACGCCACAATGTTTCTTCTCTCTTCCATTTCTCTTCCTTTCTCTTCTGCCTTTTTTTTCCTTTCCTTCCTTTCCTCCTTCTCTTTCATTTAAAAAAAAAATTTTTTTAAAGATTTATTTTATTTTTATTGCAATGTCAGATATATAGAGGAGGAAAGATAGAAAAGAAGAGCTTCCATCTGTTGGTTTCCCCCCCAAGTGACTACAACGGCCGGAGCCGAGCCAATCCAAAGCCAGTAGTTTCTTCCGGGTCTCCCAAATGAGTGCAAGGTCCCAATATGGGATCTTGGCTCATACAAGGCGAGGACCCTTAGCTGTTAGGCCACTGTGCCCGGCCCCCTTCTTTTCTTTCTTTCCTTTCCCTTCCTCCTTCTCTCCCTTTACTTCTTTCTTTCCTTCTCTCCCTCTTTCTTTTTTTCTTTTTCTTTCTTTCTTTCTTTCTTTCTTTCTTTCTTTCTTTCTTTCTTTCTTTCTTTCTTTCTTTCTTTCTTTCTCTTTCTTTCTTTCTTTCTTTCTTTCTTTCTTTCTTTCTTTCTTTCTTTCTTTCTTTCTTTCTTTCTTTCTTTCTTTCTTTCTTTCTTTCTTTCTTTCTTTCCTTCTTTCCTTCCTTCCATCCTCCCTCCCTCCTTCCCTCCCTCCCTCCCTTCCTCCCTTCCTTCCTTCCTCCCTTCCTTCCTTCCTTCCTTCCTTCCTTCCTTCCTTCCTTCCATTCTTCTTTCTCTCTACTTTCATTTATTCCTCCTTTTAAGATTCATGTATTTGAAAGGCATCAAAGACAGGGGGAGAGTCAGAAAAACAGAGACATCTTCCACCTGCTGACTCATTCCCAAATGACTGAAAGGTCCAGGTGTAGGTCAGGCTGAAGTCAGAAGTTGGGAACTGCATCCTGGCCTCCCACATGGGTGCAGGGGCCCAAGCATTTGGGCCATCTTCTACTGCCTTCCCAAGCACATTAGCAGGGAGTGGATCAGAAGCAGAGCAGCCTGGGACTGGAACTGGTACCCCAAAGTGGGATGCTGACTTGAAAGTTGCAGCTGAGTCTGTTATGCCACAGACCAGCTCCTACATCCTTTCTTAATTCCAAATCTTGCACATCTTTCTCTGGCCTTTTACCAAAGCCTCCAAACCCGTTGAAGCTGACCAGAGTCCAAGCCCAGTGGGATGCTGATGGTATCTCTACGACAGAAGCAGCTTGTGGTTTCCCAGGGCCCCTGTGAAGAACACAAACAACAGGATGCTCACTACCTAACAAGACAGCTCAGCGTGCCTTGGGTTGTTTCCGGGTGTCTGTGCGTTCCTTCTGGGGGCTTTTACTGTTAATCACTTCCTAGCCATCAGAAAATGAGCACCCAGAAAGTCAAATGTAACCACATAGCAGTGGATTTGTCAATGAGCCACCCAGCCCCTTCCCCCTGGCATCCCAACAGGGAGGGGAAAGCATGAACATCCCATTCCACAGACTCTCCCTCCCTCTCTCTCTCTCTGCTTCTCTCTCTTAGATTGATTTATTTATTTACTCAAAAGGAAATGTGAAGGGGGATGGGGAGAGTGAGAGAGAGAGAACGTCCATCTGCTGATCCACTGATTCGCTCCCGAAATGCCTGCACAACAGCCCAAACCAGGCCAGGACACAGAGTCAGACTCCACGCAGTCTCCCACATGCGTGGCAGGGACTCGGGCATTAACGCCATCACTTGCTGTCTCCCAAGGGGTGCCTTAGCATGCAACTGGAGTCCAAACGGTAGGAGGGATTCTAACCCAGGTTCTTGCTTGTGCTTGGGACACAGGGAGCTAATCTGTTGCCCCAAAGGCCAGCCCTTCCTAGGGATGGGAAGGATAACTCCTCACTTGGCCTAAAGGTATTTGACATTTTTCTGTGAGCTAGGCCCATGTTATATTTAGTTCACATACATAAGGGAAGAACCACTCAGAGGCAATGGGAGGATGCCTGAATGTATCTGTAATGGCTGCCCCAGCTCTGTGGGATGTGAAACAGAAGCATGAAGCAAGGACTTCTTACCTGTCCGTTCTACAAAGCAAGGGTTGGTAAGGCAGAAGGAGCTCTTAACTAACCCAGTATTTATGTTAAGCTTAGAAGGGGAAGGTGAAGGCCAGTGTGGTGGTGTTATGTACTAATCCTCTACCTGCAATACCAGCATCTCATATGGTCACCAGTTTGAGTCCCAGCCGCTCCACTTCCCTTTTAGTTCCCTGCTTGGGATCTGGGAAAATAATAAGAGAAAGGCTCAAAGCCTTGGGACCCTGCACCCATGTGGGAGACCTAGAAGAAGCTCCAGCTCCTATTTTCCTATTGGTTCAATTCCAGCTTTTATGGCCATTTGGGAAGTGAACCAGCAGGTAGAAGAGCTTTCTCTCTGCTTCTCCTTCTCCCTGTAAATCTGCCTTTCCAGTGAAGATGAGTAAATCTTAAAAAAAAAAAAAAAAAAAAAAAAAGCAGTGGTTGGACTTGAGGGATCCCCAGACCCTTGAGGCTGGGAAGGCCTGAATTCAACCCTCCTCTCTCTGGCTGACATTGCTTAATGTGTCCTTGGGGTTTCCAAGCAAGCAAAGCCTGAGTCCTGTTCTCAGAGACCACCCTGCCAGGACAAGGACTGGGACTGATCTGTACTTTGGTCATATGGAACCCAGGACCTGAGCCAAGGGTGGTTATCTGAGCAGAATGTTGGAGGGAGTTGGGGGTGAGTGGAGAACCTCGCACTGGGAAGGCCTCACAGATTAGGCCATGGCAGAGCTGAGCCCAGAAGCTCAAGTTAGGGTTCAGTAGGAGAACAATCAATCATTCCAAGGTAGGCAGAACCAGTGCTCCTGAAATGTGAAGAAAGAAAGTAGTGTGGTGGTGGTGGTGATGGGCAGTGAGTAGCATTTTGGCATGGCAGGCCATTTTGGGTCATAGCTACTGTGGCTCCAACTTAGCTCCTTTGTAATGGCGGAGAAAAGCAGCGGAAGAGGGACCAAGTGCATGAGCCCCTGTCTCCCACATAGGAGATGCCCACAGAGCTCCTGGTTCCTGGTTTTGATCTGGCCCTGGCTGTTGAGATCCTCTGGGGAGTGGACAAGCAGATGAAGGGTCTGTCTCTCTTTGTTTCTCAAATAAATAAACAATTCTTTAAAAAAAAAAAAAAAGAAAGAAAGAAAGTCACATGGGGTAATTGGGGAAGACAAGAGAAGCTCAGAGCAGATGAGTGGTGTGTGTGTGTGTAGCACAACAAACCCAGGAGGTACATTTGGTCATCTTGCCATTAAAGGGCCTTGCATGCATAGCAAACTTAACTTGAAAACTAATTTTTTAAATTTATTGTCCGATTTATTTTATGTAAAAGACAAAATAAGAGATAGAGAAAAGAGGTAGAGAGAGGCACAGAGAGATGTTCTACCTGCTGGTCTGTTCACCCAAGTCGCTGCAAGAGCCAGGGCTCGACCAGGCTGAAGTCAGGCGCACAACACTCAATCCAGGTCTCCCTTCATGAATGGAAGTGACCCCAAGTACCTGAATCATGTACTGTCTTCCAGGGTACACCTTAGCATGAAGCTAGATTGGACAGTGGGACTAGGACTTGACCCCAGGCACTCTAACACGAGTTGCAAGTGTGCCCAGCCACAGTTTAGCACTGGTGCCATATGCCCACTCCAGGGACTAGGGCCTTCTAAGCAGTTCCCAGTAGCAGGCCTAGGGAAGACATAGTTTCAGGGCTCCTAGGGGCTCTGGAGTGAGGTCCTGTGAGGTCCTCTCCCCATTCAGGAAGATCTGCAGGCTTCTACCTGCTTTATTGATGGTGTTCTGCTTGGTTTCGTCTGACAAAAAGTTTCCACTGCTGTAGCAGGCAAACAAACAAAGTAAGTTATGGCCAACAGGGCCCCTGATGGGTTTTCTGCCAGGGAGCCATGGGCTTGTAGGAACTCTGTGAAGTTCACTGCATGGATGTGAGGGCCAGGGCCTGATGCTGGGCCCTGGGGAGATGGAGTCTTAGTATCCTTCACTGCACAGGGGCAATTGTCATTAAAAAGTGGGGCTTCAAAATTCAGGTCTCCCCCAGGGCTGAGGGGAGTCTGTGTGATCTTCAGAAGGTAGTCCCCCAACGGCAAAGTGAAGCCCGGGCAGGAAGTGGGTAACTACTTTGACAAAGGTGCCTGCGACAGTTTGCCCAGCCCAGGTGGGAGGGCGGGGCCTCTGTACCAAGGGAGCCCCAGCCCAGAGCCAGGATCCCCCGCTTGGCTTCTCTGTGGCTTGTAGATGGGGGTCCAAGGACCTTGGCAACTTCCCAGGGTGAGGCCCTCAGAAGTCTGATGTTGCGGGGAACCCCTTCAGCCTCTTGTTGGTTCTCCCAGGGACCATGGGCTGTAGCTGCAGTTCAAATCCCGAAGATGACTGGATGGAAAACATTGATGTGTGTGAGAACTGCCACTATCCCATCGTCCCCCTGGAAGGCAAGTCCATGGTAAGAGAAGAGAGAGGGGCCTTGATGAGGGAGTTGGGAGGAGTATGAGACACAGGAAGAAGAAATAGACCATGGCTGGAGGCCCTTGTCTCCCAGGGTGGCCCTCTTGTTGCCTGGCTGCGGGGAGAGAAGGAGGCCCAGAGAGGGCAAGGGACTCTTGTAAGGTCACCCAGCAAGTGGCTGTCAGATTCAGGGAGAAGCCCCTGCCAGAGAGGAGAGTGAGGCAGGGGCCAGGAGGCAGGAGTCTGACCCCTGGCTTCCTCTTCTTGCCCAACAGCTGCTCATGCGGAATGGCTCTGAGGTTCGGGACCCGCTAGTCACCTATGAAGGCTCCATTCCTCCAGCGTCCCCACTGCAAGGTGACCGGAATGGCAGGGCCTGGAAGATAAGACCTGTGGCTCCCTGGCTTCTTAGTCCTCCCCCACCTGCACCCTCTACCCCTCCCTCCGCCCTGCGACCCCAGAACTTCATACTGCTCAACGAGTCTCTGCAGCCAGACCTTCTGTCTTTACAGACAACCTGGTTATCGCCCTGCACAGCTATGAGCCCTCTCATGACGGAGACCTGGGCTTCGAAAAGGGCGAACAGCTCCGTGTCCTGGAGCAGTGAGTGCCCCCTGAGCCACCCCGAGAAGCAGGGTGGGGGTGGTCCTCTCTTGTAGCCCTTGACTTACTCGGCAGGGGCCCTTGAGACACTATGGAGAGTCCCGGGGTACTGGCCTGGCAGGATTTGGGAGGGTCGCTGGGGTTCTCCAGCCCAGATTATGGCTAGGCTGGCTCGCACTGACTGGTTCTGTGGGGGCAGGAACGGCGAGTGGTGGAAGGCGCAGTCCCTGACCACCGGCCAGGAAGGCTTCATCCCCTTCAACTTCGTGGCCAAAGCCAACAGCCTGGAGCCTGAGCCGTGAGTGAGGGTCAAGAGGGGTGGGAGCAGATCTAGGGATACTGGGACAGGGACCCTGGGGGTGGTGGCGAATGCTTGGGGTGATGGAGAAAGAATGGATCATCGTCGACAACCTTCGTTTCCGTCCTGTGCAGCTGGTTCTTCAAGAACCTGAGCCGCAAGGACGCCGAGCGGCAGCTCTTGGCGCCAGGGAACACGCACGGCTCCTTCCTGATCCGGGAAAGCGAGAGCACCGCGGGTGAGCCGGGGCGGGGTGGGGGCGGGACCTAAAGGGGTGGGCGTGGCCGTGCTCGGTGGGCGGGGCTTGTGCGAAGGGCGGGGTTTAGATGGGAGAGGGCTCGGTGGGCGGGACTGTGCGGAGGTTCCCGCACGGTGCCGGGCGCGCCTGGCTGGAAACCGCCTCTCAGTCTGGTTCACGTATTCATTCTTCCAGGTTCATTTTCACTGTCGGTCCGGGATTTTGACCAAAACCAGGGAGAGGTGGTGAAACATTATAAGATCCGTAACCTGGACAACGGCGGCTTCTACATCTCCCCTCGCATCACTTTTCCCGGCCTGCACGAGCTGGTCCGCCATTACACCAGTGAGCAGCGGGACCCCTCACCTATACCCTGGCAGCCTGGCTTCCTGCCCCTCATCCCTCATCCGTTTTCCGCTGTGCCTTCTTCCTCCCGGCCTACAGCCCCAGGAATCGGGGGCTGACCCCGGTCCCCGGCCACGTCGTTTTCCCAAGGTGGGGCTGTGGAGCGGCAGAGACCGCCTCTCCCACCGGGCCGAACCTTTCCCGCGTCCCCGCAGATACTCCGGATGGGCTGTGCACCCGGTTGAGCCGCCCCTGTCAGACCTCGAAGCCTCAGAAGCCGTGGTGGGAGGACGAGTGGGAGGTGCCCAGGGAGACACTGAAGCTGGTGGAGCGGCTTGGGGCAGGCCAGTTCGGGGAGGTGTGGATGGGTAAGTGTGGCTCTCTGTCCTGGCCTGGGAGAGAGGAGGGGATGTCCACCGAGGTCCCGTGACCTTCACATCTGCCTGCCTCGGACTCAGGGTACTACAACGGGCACACGAAGGTGGCCGTGAAGAGCCTGAAGCAGGGCAGCATGTCTCCGGACGCCTTCCTGGCAGAAGCCAACCTCATGAAGCAGCTGCAGCACCAGCGGCTGGTCCGGCTGTACGCGGTGGTCACCCAGGAGCCCATCTATATCATCACAGAATACATGGAAAACGGTGCGGGGGAGGGGGTCAGCATAACCACTGGGGACCACCGCAGGCGCCTCTGACCCCGCTGGATGGCGGGGGTGGTGGGAGGGAGGTGAGAGAGACAACATCGGTGCACTTTGCAACCACAGTCCTCCTGGTCTTGTCCCACCTGCCCATCCTCTTGCCCCACCTGCCCGTCCTCTTGCCCCACCTGCCTGTCCACTGGTCTTCAGGATGCTTGGTATCCACATGAGAGGGTTTCCTAACTGCTTTCCTCCTTATTCCACTCTTGAGCCTTGCCAGGTCCCTTGGGTCCCCAAACCCCAGGCACGCCCCCTATGTCCGTTCTGCTGTGGAACTGAATCAAAGCCCAAGAAACAGAGCAGAACTAGCCTCAGCTTGGCTGCCCCTGATTGGCCACGTCCCTGGACCCTGTCCTGCTGCTCACTTTCCTGGGGGTGGGGGTGGGGCGTAAATGTGATATAAAGGGCCTCTCCCAGAGACCAGGCATGATCAGGGCTCCTCCAACCCCTGGAGCCTGGGTTAGTTAGAGCCTTGGACAGCTGTGGAAGAAATGGCGGTGCACGTCCACAAATGTGCTGTGTCCAGGCGAGACCTTTGTCTTCGTGACTGCTCCAGCATTCCCTCTTGGCGGGGTCATTAGGATTGCTGTTATTTTTACAAAGAGTTTGCATCTCTTGTGAAGGGCCAGGAGTCACTAGCTCTCTCTCAATGATTCCCATCCTGTTTTTCCCCCAGGTGCCCAGTGTCCACTACCAAACAGGTGTCCTTCCTGCCACATGCCCACACTTTGGTTGTTGCTGAGGCTGAGCTGGGCACTGGGAGCACGCTGGTCGCATGGAGCTTCCTGCTGTCAGGAAAACTCGGCTTTAGGAATGGGCACTGAGAAAAAAACAGAGTGTGGCATGAAAGAGTTTTGGAATGCATGGAAGACATATGATGATGTAATTTACAGTGCCTATGGGCATCTAACTGGGCTCAGACATGGAAGGAAAAGTAAAATTTTGGCAGGCTGATATGAAGCCACAGAGGTCTTCTAGTGATCTGGGGAAAGGATCGTAAGATTGTTGAGGGCAGGTGGAGCGGAAGAGGCCAGATAGGCGAGGAGAAGAAGCTAGCTTGCCAGAGGAATGTAGACTGGAAAGACACCTACAAACTCCTCTCGCACTGCCCCTGAAGAAGACACACATCCTGGACCTCTCATCCTGAGGAGAGCACCGGCCCCCACAAACCTCACCCATCACTCATCCTTTTCCATGCATGTCCCCAGTTGGGGGACAAAGGTCAGGGGGCCTCTCCCCGGGATGGCTTAGGTCAGCAACTTTCACTTCTTCCCACAGGCAGCTTAGTGGATTTTCTCAAGACCCCTTCAGGTATCAAGCTGACCATCAACAAACTCTTGGACATGGCAGCCCAAGTAAGGAGGCTTGAGGTGGGGCCCGGGTATGGACACCAGGCCAGGGAGGGGAGGCCAAGGCCCAGGAGTGTTGACCTGTACTTGGCCTACAGATTGCAGAGGGCATGGCATTCATTGAAGAACGGAATTATATCCACCGCGACCTGCGGGCCGCCAACATCCTGGTGTCTGACACCCTCAGCTGCAAGATTGCCGACTTTGGCCTCGCACGTCTCATTGAGGACAACGAGTACACGGCCAGGGAAGGTAGATGCAGGGTGTGAGGGTGGTCTGGAGCCTGCCAAACACAGCCGAGTGATCTCACTTTGTTTCTCTCCAGGCGCCAAGTTTCCTATTAAGTGGACAGCCCCAGAAGCCATTAACTATGGGACATTTACGATCAAATCGGATGTGTGGTCTTTTGGGATCCTGCTGACCGAGATTGTCACTCATGGCCGTATCCCCTACCCAGGTCAGTGCCAAGGACGGAAACTGGAATGACGATGGGGATGGACAGCCAAGTCCAATTTTTCTCATTCATTTCCAGGCTCAGAATCTGAAACTTTCTAGTTGCTTCTCTGTCTTCTCAGAGTGTGTCTTCCACCTCCTTAAGCAGGTGCTGCATCACCCAGGGCCAGCTTGCATCTCTGACTCTGAATCTGTCCCTTCCAGAACTTCAACTCCCAGATAGCCTGGTCTGAGAGAAGCGAGTTTGGCCTGAAAGACTTGTCTTCTATGGTCAGCTCTGCCACCGAGGCTAACCTTTCTCTTTAGTCTTCATCAAACCAGTTCTTCTCTTTTTCAAGATAACTTTTTATTTAAATGCTTTGTGTATTTGTTAGGGAGACAGAGACCTCTCATCCACTGGTTCACTCCCCAGATGCCCTTGTCAACTGGAACTAGACCAGAATGAAACCAGGAGACAGAACTCAATCCAGCTCTTTTGTACGGGTGACAGGAAGCCAACTATGGGAACCCTCACTTGCTGCCTCCTGGAGTGTGTGTTTGCAGGAAGTTGGAATTGGCAGTGGAGCCAAGGAGTCCAACCCAGGCACTCCAATATGGGATGTAGGTGTCTCAAGCGGCATCTTAACTGTGTGTCCTGTCCCTGTCTTAGATCATCCTTTGTGTTTCCATCTGTTAAGTGTAAGATCACAGTGGTGTCCGGTTCATGCTAAGCCATTATCAGTCATCACTCTGTGCTTTCTTTCCTGCAATACAAGAGATGGTTTGTAGAGGCTGGCTCCTAGCAGGTGCTCACTGAAAGCCTACTTCCCTTTCTTCTGATCCTAACCTTCTAAGAAACGTATACACCATCCCCCGCCCCACGCCTATCCTCCACTTCTTGAATTCCCACAAAGACAGAAGTGAAAAGGATTGGGAGGAATTGGCTCAGAAACTCTGGGGGAAAGGAGATGGAACCAAAAGCCAGGCGTGGGGAAGTCCTGGAGTCCAGTGGCTGGGTTTGTAGCAGCTTCTCACAGCCCCGAGCAATGTGAACAGAACTTTGCTCCCAGGCAGGCACTTTGGGGTCAGCTGAGAAGCTGACAGACCTTGGCTTCGCCACATCGGAGTGCAGGTACAGTGCCGGAGTTAGAAGCACACATCAGAAACGTTGCTGAGGGCTCCTTGTGCTCTGCCACTGCACCCGCAGAGACCAATTAGAAGGAAAAAGGGGAAGGAAGGGGCAAGATCAAGGGTGGCTGACATGTGATGCAAGGGTCAGGAGAATGGGGAGAAGGGGGACCCTTAGTGAATTTGCATCTGCCTCAGCAGTGGCTTAAGGTAAAGGTAAGGTAAAGGTAAAAGAGAGCTTAAGGTAAAACAGATCTTCTGTTTTCCATAGAGGCCAAAGCTTGGAGTTTTACGACAAGCTGTTTATGCCCAAATACTGGTAATTGACTCAGATGATTTCAAAGTACCACATGGTCATTTGGCCTACCAGTTAAGCTTCTAGTGAAAATACCTATGCCCATGAGAGTGCCCAGGTTCGAGTCCCAGTTCCAGCTCCTGACTATACCTTTCACTTATACAGACCCTGGGAGGCAGCAGTGATGTCCTAAATGGATGGGTCCCTGTCCCTGGACAGACCTGGACTGAGCTCCTGGATACCAGCTTTGGCCCAGCTCTGGCTATTGTGGGCATTTGCGGGAGTGAATCCATGTATGGGAGTTTTGTCAGTTTGTGTTTGATCTCTCAAATAAGACAAGCAAAGAAAATATCACCTACATAATCCAAAGCAAGCTGGGTCATCTTCAGGCTGACTTGGCTGATGGGCTGGCACCATTGACTGTGATGTTTAGATTCTGGCTTATGTTCTTTGATGCCTTGATTTGAGAACTTCAGGAAGTGGAGCCTTCCAAGGGTAAGACCTGGAGAGGAGGAGATGTTCCCGACCAGGGGGTGCTCCCAGAGGAGCTGAGCTCCTGCCACAAACCTGTAAATGTTTGGCCTTGGGGGACCCTGTAAAAGGTTTGTCAGAATCTTGGGAAAGTGAGGGAGAGGCAAAGGGATCTGTGTGTAATGTAGAAATAGTGAACAGGGGCTGGCGATGTGGCCTGCCAGTTGAGTCCTAGCTGTTTCACTTCTGATAGCAGATGATGGCTCAATGATTGGGCTTCTACCACCAATGTAGGTGACGTGGATGGAGTTTTGGGTTTCTAGCTTTGGCATGGTCCAGCCCTGGCTGTAACTACCATCTGGGGAGTGAAGCAGTGGTTGGCAGATTTCTCTCTCTTGCCTTTCAAGTAAATGAACATAAACAAACATTTAAAAGGAAAGAATGAAAGCAGGGAACTATATTCTTACAATTCTGTAGAGCAATTTTTCCTGGACGAGGAAGCCTGCTAGTGGGGACAGAGCATCAAAAGAGGAAGCCAGCCAAAGACTATTTGATCTGGGTCCTGGAGAGGCCTGGTGATCCTCAGCCCCAGGCAGGATTGGCTTGTGTGGGGCTGGGGGTCTTCTGCCTCCTTGACATGGGTTTCATGTGCCTGGTTCCAAAGCTGGGGAAGCCTTACCAACCTCCTGGCAGTGGGGATCCCCTCCTGCCCTGACTGCTGACTACTCCATCATCCCAGTAATCATAATTTCTCTTTATGAAGACTTTCCTAGCCTTTACATATACCATCTCAAAATGTCTGTGAGGGAGGAGCAGCTGTTAACCCTATGTTCCAGAGGAGGAAGCACAAGTCCAAAGGCCTGAGGTTGACGGGAGGAGGACATGGAGGCACAGTGGGCTAAGCTTCTGCTTGGAATGTCCATGTTGCATCTCAGAGTACTGCTTGAAGTCTCAGCTATTCTTTTTCCAATCTATTCCCTGCTAATGCACTGGGGAGGCAACAAATGATGGCCTAAGAACTTGGGTTCCTGGCACCCATGTGAGAGACCAGAACGGAATTCTTGGCTCCTAAGTTTGACCTGATCAGGCCCTAACTATAATGGGCATTTGAGGAGTGAACCAGCAGATGGAAGATCTCTTCTTTTTTTTTTTTTCTCTCTTATTCTGCCTTTCAACTAAATAGATGTTTACATATATATATATACATGAATATATATATATGTGTGTGTGTGTGTGTGTGTGTGTGTGTATTTTTAAAGATAAAATGATTCCACAGATAAAATGCATTGGTAATTCAGTGTTTAAGCTGTATCCTATAGTCCAGGCAGTGTGACTACCAGCAGCGGGCACTGCTAACGTGACCTTAGCATTGACAAAGACCCAAATGCTTTGGAATTGGTGCTCAGACTCTGCCAGTTCAATCCTTTTAAAGCCTAGAAGCCTGATGTTCTCTCTCCCATCCATCTTCAGGGATGACGAATCCTGAAGTGATACAGAACTTGGAACGTGGCTACCGCATGGTGCGCCCTGACAACTGCCCGGAAGAGCTGTACCAACTCATGAAACTGTGCTGGAAAGAGCGCCCAGAGGAACGGCCCACCTTTGACTACCTGCGTAGTGTGCTGGAGGACTTCTTCACGGCCACGGAGGGCCAGTACCAGCCCCAGCCTTGAGCAGTTGGCCCCGGGGGACTCCCCCTTCTTGCCAACCTGGCTTGGGGGAAATGGAGTTTGTATGTCAAACCTTCATGGCCCATGCACATGGACTCTGCACACAAATCCCGCCCATGTGCAACACATATGCATCTTGTGTCTTACACACATATCCTGTACTTGCATGGTTGCATAGGCTTCGCACATGTATGTTGTTCATGTGTAGCCTGTGTGTGTGTGTTCCTGGGATACTGCCCACGGTGCCACTTTCTGAGCATTCTTTTTTCCTGATTCCACAGAGATGGGAGAGAGTCCTGTGACTGACAGCAGCTTCTGCCCCCCCCCCCCACTTTTCTTTGCCCAAGTCCTTCAGAAGCTCCTTCTGGGTTAGGACCTTATCCGATATCTCTGGGTGCTCCTCCTTGGTGCCTGGCACCTATTAGGAGCTTAATAAATGTTGATAGGGTAAAACATCTCTCCCGTGCACATTATATCTTTTTCCTTTGGGAGGTAGGTGCGGTTGAGGTCATCCCAGGATGAGGGGGAGGGTGTTGTACAGCGGGTTAAAGGTTAAGCTGCTGCTTGGGACGCCTGAATTCTGGCTTCTCTACTTCCCGTCTGCCTTTTTACAATCATGCTAGTGTGCCTGGGAAATCCTTGGATCCCTGCTAGACGTGTGGAAGACCTGAATGGAGTTCCTGGCTCCAGGATTCAGATTGGCTCAGCCCTGGATATTATAGACATTTTCCAAGAGAACACATGGATGAAAGATCTCAGGGCCAGCTCGATGACTAAGTGGCTGAATCCTCTCCTTGCACGCACAGAGAACTCATATAGGTTCATGTCCTTCATTTTCCTTCAAGTTCCCTGCTGAGGCCGGGAAAAGTAGTAGAAGATAGCCTTGGAACCCTGCACCCACATGGGAGACCAAGAAGAAGCCCCTGGCTCCTGGCTTCGGATTAGCTCAGCTCCATCCCTTGCGGCCACTTGGGGGTGTGAACCAGCAGATGAAACGAAGATCTTTCTTTCTCTCCTCTCTGTGATTCTGCCTTTCCGATAAAAAAATCTCAAAAACAACAACAACAAATACCTCTTTTTTTTGTTGTTGTTCCTTTCTCTCTCTGTCACTCTGGCTTTTTTAAAAAAAGATTTATCTTTTTATATTTATTTTATTTTATTTTTATTGGAAAGGCAGATATACAGAGAGAGGAGAGACAGAGAGGAAGATCTTCCGTCCAATGGTTCACTCCACAAGTAGTTGCAACGCCTGGAGCTGAACCAATCTGAATTCAGGAGCTTCTTCCAGGTCTCCCACGTGGATGCAGGGTCCCAAAGCTTTGGGCCGTCCTCAACTGCTTTCCCGGACCACAGGCAGGGAGCTGGAAGGGAAGCGGGGCTGCAGGGATTAGAACCGACGCCCATATGGGATTCCGGGCGTGCAAGGCGAAGACTTAACCACTTGCGCCACCGCTCCGGGCCCCAGTCACTGGCTTTCAAATAAATAAAGAATTTTGTTTTTAGACTTATTTAATTTTTACTGGAAAGTCAGATATACAGAGAGGAGGAGACATAGATAAGAAGATATTCCATCCACTGGTTCACTCCCCAAGTGACCACAACAGCTGCAGCTGAGCCGATCCAAAGCCATGACCCGGGAACTTCTTCTGGGCCTCACACGCAGGTGCAGGGACCCAAGGCTTTGGGCCGTCCTCCACTGCTTTCCCAGCCCACAAGCAGGGAGCTGGATGGGAAGTGGGGCTGCCTGGATGAGAACCGGTGCCGATTTGTGATCTCAGTACAGTCAAAGTGAGGGCTTTAGCCACTAGGCCACTGCGCCAGGCCCTAAATAAATTTATTTTTAGGCCTGGTGCTGTGGCCTAGTGGCTAAAGTCCTTGCCTTGAATGTGCCACAATCCCATATGAGCGCCGGTTCTCATCCTGGCAGCTCCACTTCCCATCCAGCTCCCTGCTTGTGGCCTGGGAAAGCAGTTGAGGACGGTCCAATGCTTTGGGATCCTGCCCCCATGTGAAAGACCTGGAGGAGGTTCCTGGCTCCTGGCTCCGGACCAGCACAGCACCAGCCCTTGCGGTCACTTGGGGAGTGAATCATCGGAAGGAAGATCTTCCTTGCTGTATATCTGCTTTGTAATAAAAAAATAAATAAATCTTTAAAAAATCATCTATTTTTATTGCAAAGTCAGATATGCAGAGAGGAGACAAGACAGAAAGATCTTCTGTCCATTCGTTCACTCCATAGGCAGCCGCAATGGCTGGAGCTGTGCTGATCCGAAGCCAGGAGCCTGGAGCTTCATCTGGGTCTCTCACATGGTGCAGCGTCCCAAAACTTTGTGCCATTTTTGCTGCTTTACCAGCAGGGAGCTGGATTTGAAGTAGGGTTGCCGGGATTAGAACCAGCGCTCATATGGGATTGTGGCACATGCATGTAAAGCGAGAACTTTAGCAATTGGCTATAGCGCTGGGCTCATAAATAAATAAATCCTAAACAGAATACCAAACTGGACCATCACTGGAGTAATGGTTGTGGTGACAGACGGGAAGAGCAGATGTCTGAATATTTCCGAGCCCTGGTGGTTAATGCTGGGGGCCAAGAGAGAGCACCGCTACAATTCTGCCACCAGGACCCTGCAAATCCCTGCAAATGGTATAATACTCCTCCTCGCCTCCTCCAAGTGTCCAGGAACTTCCTAGGAGTGCAATCATCACCCCAGACATGTCTAAGGTTTATCAAGGTGTCTTTGTTAGAGCATACTAGAAATAACTTTTGATTAAAAGTTCATATGGCGGGCCCGGAGCGGTGGCGCAAGTGGTTAAAGGTCCTCACCTTGCACGCCCGGGATCCCATATGGGCGCCGGTTCTAATCCTGGCAGCCCCGCTTCCCTTCTAGCTCCCTGCCTGTGGCCTGGGAAAGCAGTCGAGGACGGCCCAAAGCTTTGGGCCCCTGCACCCGCGTGGGAGACCCAGAAGAGGCTCCTGGCTTCGAATCGGCATAGTATCGGCCCGTTGCGCTCACTTGGGGAGTGAATCATCGGACGGAAGATTTTCCTCTCTGTCTCTCCTCTCTGTATATCCGCCTTTCCAATAAAAAAAATAATAAAAATAAATCTTTAAAAAAAAAAGTTCATATGGCAATCAACCACTCATACTGTAACCAATCATAATGTAACCAAACATAATCCAACCAAATATAACCCCAAGAGATTTGGTCATTATCTAGAAGTCCATCTGTTAAGCTGAAGTCCTATGTCCCAGCTTCCCCAACAATACAAGTTATCCTAAGAGACAGGCAACAAATAACCTGGACATGCTTACAAAGTTGCAGATATTCACCTCTCGCTGGCTTCTCTGCCCACATTCCATCACTACTAGGCCTCACCTCTCCTGGAACTCCTGATAGTACAGAAACCAGAAATAACATTGCTGTTGTCCCATCTAAGCAGTACATAGGGACTGTGCTCAGGGGATTACCTGTCCTGGGTCAGCCAAGAGTCAAGGTACCAGGGCCCGGCTCGATGGCGCAGTGGTTAAGGTCCTCACCTTGCACGGCCGGGATCCCATATGGGCGCAGGTTCTAATCCCAGCAGCCCCACTTCCCTTCCAGCTCCCTGCCTGTGGCCTGGGAAAGCAGTTGAGGATGGCCCAAGGGAGACCCGGAAGAGGCTCCTGGCTTCGGATTGGCTCAGCTTCAGCCGTTGCGGCTGCCTGGGAAGTGAATCATTGGATGGAAGATCTTCCTCTCTGTCTTCTCCTCTCTGTATATCCACCTTTCCAATAAAAATAAAAAAAATAAATCTTAAAAAAAAAAAAAAAAGAGTCAAGGTAACAGAAGCACCTGACCAGAGAGCGAGCCTTTCAAAGGGGCTTATGAGGGGAGTGGTTACACAAGGCAATACCATCCCCTCTCAGTTGATAGGTGAGTCACAGGAGCAAATACTTAGGTGGTTGGGGAGAGTGGTTGAGGATGGAATTAACATTCCATTGCTGTTATGCTCCACCTTCCAGAGGGTAGGATACACAGCCACATTTCATCTGCCCACTGTCAATGGGTGCTGGCTATCACTGGCTGCACTCCTTAGCAGCTTAGTGGCTGAAATTCATCTTGCACGTGCTAGGATCCAATGTGGGTGCCAGTTTGTTTCCTGGAGCTGCACTTCCGATCCAGCTTCCTGCTTGTGCTTCTGGAGGGCAATGGAGGATGGCCCAGAGCTTTGGGATCGTGCACACACATGGGAGACCTGGGGAGGCTTCTGGCTTCAGATCAGCTCAGCTTAGTTCCAGCCATTCCAGCCACTTGGGGAGTGAACCCGTTGACTAAAGATCTTTGTCTCTCCTCTGTAAATCTGCCTTTTCAATAAAAAATATATAAATCTTAAAAGAAAAAGAGAGAGAGAGAAAAAGATGACCCTTCCTGCTATTGTGAAAATGGACCAAGGAAGCCAGTGTATCAAATCAGGGAGATTTGCATCACAATCCAGATTTCTAACCTCTAAAAGGCAGGAAGATTGGGTCGGAATGGGCTTATCTGTCCCCTTGGTGAGTGGAGGAGTGGCCATGCCCTGCAAATGTGCTTTTATTCCCTGTTTCCCCCACACAATGAAACTACTGTTCACAGCTACACATCATCAACTTCGCATCGTGACTCCTACAGTAGAGGAGAAAAATGAATCTTTTTTTTTTTTCACATTTTTATTAAAAAGGTAAAACTAGAGACACCAGAACATGGCAATATGTTTGATAAAAAAAAAAGGGGGGGAAACATTTTTTTAGATATATATATATTATTTTGAGTTTTTGAATGATGTGTTACATTTTTGTATAGACTGGGATTTCCCCCCAACTCCTACCCCCTGACAGATTGGGGAAATTATCTTTCAAGAGGTTATTTATTATTTTTTTTTCTATTGGAAAGGCAGATTTACACAGGATAGACAGAAAGATCTTCTATCTACTGGTTCACTCCCCAAGTGGCTGCAATGGCCAAGCTGAGCCAATTCGAAACAAGGAGTCAGGAGCTTCTCCTGGGTCTCCCGTGTGGGTGCAGGGTCCCAAGTGTGGGTGGTGTGGTTCCAAGACCACAAGCAGAGTAGCTGTGACATGAACTGGTGCCCATCCTGGATAGTGGTGTTTGAAGGGGGAAGATTAGCCAATTGAACCATTATGTCACTGGGTTCAGAAAATATTTTGTTAAGAAAAGATTTATTTATTTGAAAGGTAGAGTTACACAGGGAGAAAGAGAGACACCTTTCATCTGCTGATTTACTCTCCAAGTGGCTGCAAGAGCTGGAACTAAGCCAGGCCAACGCCAGGACCCTGGAACTCCATCTAGGTTCCATGGAAGTAATAGAGGCTCAAGCACTTAACCATCTTCTGGTGCCTTGGCAGGCACATTAGCAGGAAGCTGATCAGAAGCTGAGCATCTGGGACTTGCTCTTTTGGGATGCTGGCAAGGCAGGCAGTAACTCAAGGTACAGCACCACAACTCTAGAACCAAGCCATATTTCTTTATGAAAATAAACAAACTAAGTTTTATAGTCTGCGAACAGAATATCTCATGGACCTTGCACAGTAGTCTAGTACTAAAGTCCTCACCTTACATGCACCAGGATCCCATATGGGTGCTGCTTTGTTTCATGGCTGCTCCACTTCCCTTCCCATCCAGCTTCCTGTTTGTGGCCTGGGAAAGCAGTCAAGGATGGCCCAAAGCCTTGGGACCCTGCACCCCTTGTGGGAGACCCTGAAGAAGCTCCTGACTTCAGATTGGCTCAGTTCTGGCCATTTCAGCCACTTGGGGAGTGAACCAGAGGAGGGAAGATCTTTGTCTATCCTTCTTTCTGTTTCCAATAAAAATGAATAAACCTTTAAAAAAAGATCTCAGTCATTACAGAATCCATCCACTTTCACCATTGTCCTCCCCTGTTTCAGCATCTGAATTTTTAATCCTGATTCTGTAATTTCTGCAATGCTACCACACCCTTGGTCTGACCTGCCCTCTTGGACATTGCAGGCCACCACAGAGCCCTTGGAGCTTGTATTTGCAGCCTCCCAGTTTTACAAACAAAGATGGAGGAGGCCCAGCAGAGTTAAGGAAACCCTCCCAGGGCTGGCTAGGAAGCTGTAATGCAGGACTATGCTCTGGTCCTGGCAGTTTCTGGCATGCAATTACCCGTCTTAGATCTTTTGCCTTAAAATTCACAGTTCAAATTCAGTTCCCAAGTAAGGTATACAACTCCCTAAACACTCTTTAAAGCAGGGTAAAAATATATGCTATTGACTGTAAGGCCTCGTTGAAAGTGGCTAACTTAGCAGAATATTTGATGGGTAGCAGGCTTCACTGGGTATTAATATAGTGGATATTTTCATAGGCCAGCACAAAGTTTTTGTCTGACTTGTAATAAAGACTCATTGAGTCCAGGGCCATGGTTTGAGGCCATAATGTGAGTGGGGTGTTTTCATAGCTATGTCCACCTCTGTAAACACCCAACATCCATTGCATGCAGGCCAGGGATGCAACTAAACATGCTGCCATGCACAGCACTGACCCCCACCCCCATCTCGCAGGCCGTCACTGGCCAGTTGTTTCAAGGTTGGGAATCTCTGACCTTTTAAAATGGGATAATCCCTTTTCCTCCTGGTTCATAAGGCCCTGGGGACACTGGAGCAGGGAGGTGACTTTTGGAATCAGACTGGTGTTCTGCCGCTTGGGTAAGGATTAAAACAGGCATCTATGGTTGCAAATGTAGCAGAACTGCTTACAGTGTGCCTAGGAGCCATTCGCAGGTCTGACCTGCAGCATTCCCTGGAAAATGGAGGTTTAAGAACCCTCCACCAGAGCTGTTGGGAAGAGCAACGAGCAAGAGCAATGCTAAAGCTACTGACTGCATTGGTGCTGGACAAACACTAATTTTATTTCCCTTTTCTTGACCTTTTTTTTTTTTTTTTTGCCTCTACACTCACGGTTCAGCCCATTTATTAGCCCAGTGACCCTGTGCCAGTCACTTTTCCCCGTGGGCCTCGGCTTCTCCGTGAAATGAAAAAGTTGGCCTCGGATCTCCAAGCACGCTTCCAACCCACGAAATGAGACAGAAGTTGGCAGAGCGGCTTTCCTCCCCCGGGACTGATGGTACGGTCCCGGGGTAGCTCCCCCACCCCTGTGTCGCGGCCTTGGTACAGGCCCAGGGGGCCCTAGGCGGCCTCTCAGGGCTGCCCTTGCCCCCTGCCGAGTTCCGGGCCTGTCCTCGCGCAAGCTGATTGGCTGGAGCGCTGCCCGGGCTGCGCGGCCATAGGTGAGCCCGGGAGGGGACGGGCGGGGCAGCCAGCAGGCCCGCCCCCTTTCCCCCCCACCCTGTTTCGGACGCTGCGCGAAGCCGCGGGCGGGAGGGCAGACGGACCGACCGACGGGAGGGACGGGAGCCGAGCAAGATGGCGCAGACTCAGGGCACCAAGAGAAAAGTCTGTTATTATTATGACGGTGAGCCCTGACCTCGCGCCGGGGGCGGGGTCGGGGGGGGCCGGAGCGGGGAGAGGGAGGCTGAAGCTGAGCCGATCTGAGAGGGGAGGGCGCGAGGCCGAGGCGTCGTCGAGGCTGCGCTAAGAGGGGAGGTCGAGGCTGGGGGGAGGAGGCTGAGAGGAAAGGAGGTCGAGGCCGAGGCCGCGAGGGCGTCGTGGGCGGGAAGCCTGGGCGGCGTTGGGTGTGTAGGGTGGGGGAGGAGTGGGGATCGAGATCTTGAAGAAGTCCCGTGTGGCGAGTTTTGAGTGGGACGCCCAGAGGGGAGGCCGGGTCTGAGGGGGAGGCCGTGTGGAATGGATTTTCTTCAGGAAAGCTCTTTTACTGCCCCGTGGCTTCTTCCGTCGTCTTTGGGGGGCGAATCCCGCAGGAGGGGTCACCTGCTTCCCCTCCCCCAGCTCGAAGCGCGGGGCCTGCAGTGTACTGCAAAATGAGGCCCCTGGAATCGCCCTGGGGAAGGGATGCAACCTGTTAAAACAGACCTTTCCCTTCGCACAACTCCACCCAGCAGCCTGTGCCTGGTAGTGTTTAGGTGCTGGGTCAGGTCCCATGTCCTATTGTTAGGGTGTAGGCTAAAAGTGGGGGAGGACCGCCAGAGAATAACAGGCTGGGCGCCTCCAGGCTGGGAGATGGGATAGAGCTGGGCTCAGAGTGTGATGTGAGCACAGAGGGGAGACTCCCAACCCCAAGTGGAGGAGTCCGGGAAGGTGGTGGCATCCCAGCCTGGAGCCGAGGAACAGGAAGTAGGAGCCAGGTGTGGGGAAGGCCAAGGAGGCAGCTGGGAGGCCAGAGCCTCTGAAACAGGAGATGGTTTACAGCCCTGCCGAGGCCCAGATGCCAGACCTAAGTGTGGTGGAAGCAGGGAGTGAAGGGACGGTTGCAAGGGTTGAGGCTGAGAACCCAGAGGGTTGAGTTTGCCAACCCAAGGAAATTGGACTTTACTCTCGGGACTCTTGTCAATGACTGAAGTTTTATGCACTTTAGTGCCATCATCTGTTTATTTTTTTGAAATAGTCATTAATTTTTTATTTGTGAGGCAGATTTACGAGGGAAAGACAGAAAGAGGGATCTTCCATCCACTGGTTAACTTCTCAAATGGCTACCACAGCCAGAGCTGGCTGGATTTGAAGCCAGGAGCCAGAAACTTCTTCCAGATCTTCCACGTGGATGCAGGGACCCAAGGCTTTGGGCCGTCCTTGACTGCTTTCCCAGGCCACAAGCAGGGAGCTGGACTGGAAGTGGAGCAGTCCAGACGAGAACTAGTGCCCAAATGGGACGCTCACTTTGCAAGTCATAGGATTAGCTTGAAGTGACACTACGCTGGCCTCTGTCATCAGTTTTACAAGTTTTTTTTTTTTTTAAGATTTGTTTATTTGTATTGAAAAGGCAGATTTACAGAGAGAAGGTGAGACAGAAAGATCTTCCATCTGCTGGTTCACTCTCCCAGTGGTTGTAATGGCCAGAGGTGAGCTGATCACGAGCCAGGAGCCTCTTGAAGTTTCCCTTTGGGTGCAGGATCCCAAGCCTTTGGGCCGTCCTCTTCTGTTTTCCCATGTCACAAGCAGGGAGCTGGATGGAATCTGGAGTACCCGGGACACAAATCAGCACCCATATGGGATCCTGGTGCCTGAAGGAAGAGGATTAGCCAATTAAGCCACTGTACTGGTCGTAATTTTGCACTTGAGAAATATGAGCATCGCCTGAAGCCCATGGAAAAATGAAATTCAATGATTATTTTGGTGTACATTTTTAAAAAAAATTGTGCATAATTATTTTGATGATCCACATTTTTCCACTCATTTGTAAAGCAGAGAGACAAAAAGACTTCTCATGCACTGGTTCACTCTCCAGATGCCTTAAGTGGCTAGGACTGGGCCAGATTGAAGCCAGGAGCTAGGAACTCCATCCAGGTCTCTAAGCCCTTGAGCCCTCACCTTTTGTCTCCTAGAGTGTACATTAATAGGATACTGGAATTAGAGTGAAGCTCGGATTTTGAACTTAGGCACAAGGATATGGGATGCAGGCATCCCAAGCTTTCTGGTAACTACTGTGTCAAAGGGCCGCCACTCCGTGGAATACATGTATCACTTTGGAACATTAGTGAATTTTGGGGTAAGGATGAAGGCCATGTTTCTACTAGGGACCAGACATGGATGCTTGGGGAAGCCAAAGTCATATTGATTCCTAAATTAATGCCTGTTGAGATGTCTAAGGGACATCCAGGTAGAGGTATCAGGAGATGATTGGTCGTTGAGGTCTGCAGTGGAGAAGAGGTGAGAAGAAAAAGATAGTTAGTATTTGTTGTCAACAAAAAGGTGGTCTTTCCAATTGGTTCAGAAGATGATGTGATCACCTGAGAAGTTGCATAGGGTGAGGGGAGAAGGGGATCCGGATGGAATTGTAAGGAAGTGGGCTGAGGAGAGGCCTAGTGCCTCTGACCACTCCATTAGGGCACCTGTCCCAGTGGATTGGAATTCCCCGTTTATTTGGTTTTGTAGTCTGTATGCTTCTGTATCCCCAAACCCCAAACAAGTGGCAGCTCATTGGAAGCCATCTCTACATACCTATTTTTAGATTTTTTTATTATTTATTTTTATTGGAAAGTCAGATTTACTGAGAGAAAGAAAGATGAGGATCTTCCATCAGCTGATTTAATCCCCAAGGGGCCACAACAGCCAGAGCTGAGCCAGTTTGAAGCCAGGAGCTTCCTCTGGGTCTCCCACACAGGTCCAGGGTCCCAAGGCTGGGCCATCCTTGACTGCTTTCTCAGGCCACAAGCAGGGAGCTGGATGGGAAGGATTCTGGTGCATGAAAGGCTAGAACTTTAGCCGCTATGCTATTGCTATGGCATGAGGATTTAGTCTTTTTAAAGGGAATCTTGTGTGAGGCAGGGAGAGGGGATTGTTGATGAAGGAGAGCTGGAGAGACATTCAGATTTTTTTTTTAAAGATTTATTTTTATTGGAAAGGCAGATTTACAGAGAGAAGATACAGTAGAAAGATATTTGATCCATTGGATCACTTCCTAAGTGATTGTAACAGCTGGAACTGAGTCTGTCCAAAGCCAGGAGCCGGTAGCTTCTTCCAGGTCTCTCACACAGGTGTTGAGTGCCAAGCTTTGGCCCACCCTCAACTGCTTTCCCAGGCCATAAGCAAGGAGCTGGCTGGGAATCGGGGCTGCCAGGATTAGGACCAGCACCCATATGGAATCCTTATGTGTGCAAGGTGAGGATTTTAGCCACAAGCTACCATGCCGGGCCCCATCCCAGTGAAGTTCTTACCACACTTTACTTGGAGTCAAGAATTGGTTCCCAGAGCACTCTTGCTGGTTGATCTTTTGTAAACATTTCACTTTTTTATGTCCCTGTTCGGTTTCATTGAATCTTTAGTGAACCCCTGTGAGATACATGGCTTGTTAGTTCTTGCTTTCACCGAGTTTCTAGTCTTATGGCTATAGAGATAGATGTGTAAGTAATTCAGATACAAAATGAATGGCGTGCTACCTACAAATTGTGTGTAGAAGAAAGGGGAAGGGCCGTTTAGCTTCAGCTTAGCTTTATTTTTTTTTTTTTGTAAGAGTTTACTTATTTTTTATTTGAAATGCAGATTAACAAAGAGGAAAGAGTATGTCTTCATCCACTGGTTCACTCACCAAATGGCTGCATCAGCAGGGTCTGAGTGAGTCCAGGGCAAGGATGGGTGGGACTATGAGCCACAGGCAGAGGCTTAGTCTGAGACATTATGGCACCAGCTCCTCTGAACTGGACTGTGTAGTGTGAAGATCATTAGTGAAGGCAACACATTTGGGGTGGAAGGCATGGTCTGAACAAAGCATACTTTGGTATCAAAGTGAGTACTGGTAACAATCTGGTGTGTCTGAGCATAGTTTGACAAAATGTTTTATGCAAAGGGCAAAATAATTAGGTTTGGGGGCTTCATTTTGCCTTCTGGGGTATCACTGTGGCAACTATTTGCCTGTCCAGCCCTGCCATTGTGATGTGAAAATAACCATGGATCATCTGTAAGTCAATGGGTGTGGCTATGTTATAGCAGAGTTTTGTCAAAACAGCCAGCCAGTTGTGTTTTACCTAAGGTAATGGTTTGCTCACTCTGATCTGAAAACTGTGAGTATGAATGAATGTTTCGTGGTAGAGGATGACAGTAGGTAGCAGGAGATGAAGACAGATTTAAGATAGCCTTTGAAGGCCAGGCTACTGAAGTTACTCGTTTACTCCTTTAGCCTTCAGGTGTGGGGAGGCCATTCAGATTTTTGAGCACGGGATTAGAGTGTGCCTTAGGATCCTAACTCTGATGGCCTTGTAGTAGATCATTTGAATCAAAAACAGATGATCAATTAGAATGCTATTGCCAGGGCCTGATTTGTGTGGTGCAGTGAGTTAAACCACTTCCTGTGATGCCAGCATTTCCACACACAGCTCTACTTTATAAATTTATGCTTTAAAATTTTAATATTGTGTATATAACTGAGAGAGATGCATGCCATGTGGACCTCTAATTTGGATGGGGAGGGTCAAGGCATGAAGGAAAGTGGGTAGGGCAAATGTTTCTGTTTTTTCCCCCCTATATCCTCCTGGAGGAAAGTGGAGGGTGCCGCTCCTTGTTGTCAAACTGCATCAGCACCTGGGGATAGGGGATGGTCATTTGATGATGCCTTAGAGACCCTAATGTAGGAAAGACTGTCCAACGGGTGTTGAGTAGTTTTGTTGGTTCTGACGTTTGGTGGGCTTTGGTGCACCAGGGTTGAGAAAATCCAAGGTCTGTTGGCTGATCGAGTACACCTTAGTGCTTCCTCACACTCAGGAACATGTTGCAGAGCTTGGCCAGAGAGTCTTCCATGTGCATCTGGGCATGCTGTCCATCAGCAGTTGAGGAAACCCAGCCTGATACATGCACTTCAAGGTCAAGCCACATATCTTGTGAGTCCAGCAATATAGTTGGAGAGTCTCCCAAGAACCCTTGCCTGGGGTGACCTTGGAGTTCACTCTTGTGGGCAAGCTAGTGTAGGATCAGATTTGATCCATCACCTGCACGAACCAATGCACATATGACATACAGATGGATATAGTTGTCTGGTCAGTTCTGCCCCAGCCCTATCTCTCATACCAACTGATGGGTGCTGCAGCCTAACCTAACCCATCCTGCCACAGGTCTGGTCTTCATGTACATTAGCAGGTGTCATGGCCTCTTAGGGGCAACCTTTAATAACCCCACCAGGCCTGCCCCCAGCATTTTTTGGTGTATGCTGGAGCCTTAGCTCACTCCATCCTGTATCCCGTTTGGTTCTTGTGCACATTCATGGGAGTTACAGCTTAGCTCAGCCTGACCTGTCCCCAGACCCAGCCCACATATATGATGAAGGGTGCTGCTGCCTTGACCAACCTGTCTCGTTCTCAGTCCCAGTTCTTACACTCACTAGCGGGACCTGCTGCCTAACAGGGGAGTGCCCACAGTTCACCTACCTGACTTACTCCCATCTCTGGATCTTGCTCCTGCCATGGGGTACTGCAGTCCAGTCTGACATATTTGGCACCCAGTCGCAGCACTTGCCAGCAGGTGCTATGCCCTAGTCCAGTTAGTATGCACCTGTTTTGCTCGTTCTTTCTCTCTCTTTTTTAAAAAAATTATTTTTATTGCAAAGTCAGATATATATAAAGAGAGGAGAGAAACAGAAATATATTCCGTCCAATGATTCACTCCCCAAGTGGCTGCAACAGCCAGATCTGAGCCAATTCAAAGCCAGGAGCCAGGAGCTCTTCTGGGTCTCCCATGTAGGTACAGGGTCCCAAAGCTTTGAACCATCCTTGACTGCTTTTCCAAGCCACAAGCAGGGAGCTGGATGGGAAGCGGGTCTTCTTGGATTAGAACTAGCACCAATATGGAATCCTGATGCATTCAAGGCGAGGAGACCATGGCCGCTAGACCATGGCACTGGACCCAAGCATTCACCCATTTTGTTCTTTCTAGCCACAGCAAGTGCAACAGCCCAGCTCAGCCCATTCTGGCCTACCCCAAGACCCAGCCCTCATACTGGCTAAGGAGTGCTGCAGCCCTGCCCAGACTAGCGTGCCCCTTGTCCCAGCTGTCACACTTACCAGGGGAAGCAGTGGCCCAGCAAGGAAATCTCCAAGGTTCCCTTGCCAGACTTGCTTCTCAGCCTCAAGTTTTGTATGTGCCACTGGGTACTGTGACCCAGTCTGAGATGGCCCAACCTAGTCTTGGTCGTCCCAGCATTTGCCAGGCAGGTTCTCTCTGGTTGGTGCTGCAGCCCAGCCAGGCATGCCCCCAGTCCCAGCTTTTGCATTTCCCATCAGGAAATGGGAGATACCACTTAACCTAACCTAGGTCTCCCACATGGCTGCCTTGTCCTGACCCAGATATGTTTTCCGGTTCCCCCTCTAAACCACCTTGTCTCAGCTTCCTCACCTACCTGACCTATCTGCAAGTGCGTGGTAGCCTCCAGAAGTCATGTCAAACGTGCCCCTAGCTGCTCCCATTCCAACACATCCCCAGACCCTTATCCCTAGGCAGTCTAGCTCTTCCACCTGTGGGGCCGCAGTGAACATGTCCCAGTTTAGTGTTCCCCACCATGCCCACACAGCTTTACTTTTTTAAACATGTATTTTTAATTTTTTAATTGCAAAGTCAGATACATACAGAGAGGAGGAGTAACAGAGAGGAAGATCTTCTATCCACTGATTCACTCCCCAAGTGGCTGCAATGGACAGACCTGAGCTGATCTGAAGCAACGAGACACGAGTTCCTTCTGGGTCTCCCATACGGGTACAGGGTCCCAAGACTTTCGGCCATCCTCAACTGCTTTCTTGGGCCACAAGCAGGGAGCTGGAAGGGAAGTTGTGCCTCTGGGATATGAACCAGCGCCCATATGAGATCCTCGTGCATGCAAGGCAAGGACTTTAGCTGCTAGGCTACTGTGTTAGTCTCCCACATAATTAAAAAAAAAATAGAATAGGCAGGTCTGCTGACACACTGGTATAGTTAATATAAATTTGGGCCTGGCGCATTGGCCTAGTGACTAAAGTCCTTGCCTTGAATGCACTGGGATCCCATATGGATGCTGGTTCTAAACCAGGCAGCTCCACTTCCCATCCAGCTCCCTGCTTGTGGCTTGGGAATGCAGTCAAGGACGGCCCAAAGCTTTGGGACCCTGCACCCGTGTGGGATAACTGGAGGAGGTTCCTGGCTCCTGGCTTCTGATTGGTGCAGCACCGGCCATTGCGGTCACTTGGGGAGTGAGTCATCGGAAGGAGGAACTTGCCCTCTGTCTTTCCTCCAGTGCATATCTGACTTTATAATAAAAATAAATCTTCAAAAACAAACAAATAAATAAATGCATTTGGTATTAATCAGGCCCCGAAGGCCTGTAAACTACTCTTTTCTCTCAGCAGTTAACACTTGCCTAGATGTAAGGCAACCTAGGCAGGCAGTTGCCTGCAGCTGGAGGCAGAGCCATTTCTGATTGACTCCCTGCTAATGTGCCTGGGAAGGCAGCAGAAGATGGCCAAAGTGCTTTGGGCCTCTGCCACCTGCATGAGAGACTGGAATAGAATTCCAATGGCCCATACCTGGCAGTTGTGATCATTTGTGGAGGAAACCAGCCGATGACAGATCTGTCTGTCTGTCCTGTTTCTGTAACTGTGTTACAATAAATCAATCTAAAAATATATATAGAATTTTAAAAAGGGGGCTATTGTTATTCAGAAGTGGAGAACTGGGCCCGGCACGGTGGCGCAAGTGGTTAAAGGTCCTCGCCTTGCACGCCCGGGATCCCATATGGGCGCCGGTTCTAATCCCGGCAGCCCTGCTTCCCTTCCAGCTCCCTGCCTGTGGCCCGGGAAAGCAGTTGAGGACGGTCCAAAGCTTTGGGACCCTGCACCCGCGTGGGAGACCCAGAAGAGGCTCCTGGCTTCGGATCGGCATAGTATCGGCCTGTTGCGCTCACTTGGGGAGTCAATCATCGGACGGAAGATCTTCCTCTCTGTCTCTCCTCTGTGTATATCCGCCTTTCCAATACAAAAATAATAAAAAATAAATCTTTAAAAAAAAAAAAAAAAAAGAAGTGGAGAACTTCTGCCCCGTAGGCCTCAACCATAGCGGGACTTGCTAAAAATTAGCAGGCTAATTTTTAAGTTGGTAATTTTGTATGGTGGCCTGCGAATGATGTTATAAATATGCACAATGCCCCGGCAGGAAAAGAGGTTCCCCAAAATGGCGTGGAGCAAGCAAGGATGAGGTTCAGGTTTCTTACTTAGCAAATAAGAATAATACTCCCTATTCTATATATTTTAGTGTTTTTGTGAGAATGCAGTAAGTGAGATGAATTTTCTTTGGCACTATAAGGTATCACACTATGTAAGAGAAGAATTGTGGCTTATAATTTTGTGTAGTAGAGGTGACTTTTCTGTTGTGGCCAGAAGCTCCTGGGGAGTACACTGAGGCGACTCGGCCTGGCTGCTGTTTTGTTCCCCTTATGCTGTTTTCTGCCTGTATCTCCACATGATGGGCTAGTGCAGACCTCACCAGGGGCCCCGGCTTCTTATGGCTTTTTCTTTTTTGTTTGTTTTGCTTTGGAGTTATCCCTCCTTAGGGTGTGGCTCTAGAAATGAGCCAAGAAGAACATTTGCTGTAAATATTTCTGGTTTCTTCTGGGAGTATAGATCTGACTGTGTCATTGAAGCTGTCACTATTCTTCAGGTGACGTCGGGAACTACTATTATGGACAAGGCCATCCCATGAAGCCTCACCGAATCCGCATGACTCACAATTTGCTACTCAACTATGGTCTCTACCGGAAAATGGAAATCTACGTGAGTTGCTGCCCGTGTTCCCACTCTGTGACCTCGTCAGCTCTGCTTCCCCATATACCATTTACTGTCTCATGTCCTCAGCCATGCATTCCTTCTTCCATTGTGTTGCGGTGGGCATTTGACCTGTCAGTTAAGATCCTTGTGTTCTACCCTGAGGCACTTGTGTTCATGCCTCAGATATAGTTCCTGATTCCTGCTTCCTGGATACCAGCAACCTGGGAAGCAGTACTGATGGCTCCAGTAGCTGAAGGTCCTGCCATCCAAGTGGAAGACCTGAATTGAGGACTTCTAGAACCAGCGCCCATATGGGATCCTGTTGCGTTCAAGGCGAGGATTTTAGCTGCTAGGCCATGGCGCCAGGCCCTTCCTTTGTTAAAAAAATAAAGGAAAGAAGTCAGGTTTTGCATGGCTGTTATGTGGTGGCTACCGTTAATGATAAAGATTTTGTATTTTAGGAGTTGACCACATATAGAGACCTTCATATTAATCAGTTACAAATAAGGGCAACAATTTGGAAAATGTGTAAGATGTAGAGATAATAGAGAAAAGGGGTCTTGAAAGATTCTACAAGTGATTTATTATTGTGCTAGGCCCTGCCTTAACATTCTTATTCCTCCATCCTTTCTTCACATTTTCTTCTCAGGGACTGGTATGCCGGTGCAACAACTTAAGCCAATGCTTATGAGGCCAATATTCTTTTTTTTTTTTTTTTTTTTCTTAATTAATTGTATTGCATTATGTGACACAGTGTTATAGGCACTGGGATTCCCCCCACCCCTCCCCGAACCCTCTTCCCATGGTGGATTTCTCCACCTTGTTGCATTACCACAGTTCAAATATAGTTGAGGTTCTTTCATTGGAAGTAGAGGCCAATATTCTCATGACCACTGATTGAAGTCCCGACTGCTCCACTTTTTTTTTTAAGATTTATTTGTTCTTTATTGCAAAGTCAGATATAGAGAGAGGAGGAGAGACAGAGAGAAATATCTTCCTTCCAATGATTCACTCCCCAAGTGACTGCAACAGCCAGTGCTGAGCCGATCCAAAGCCAGGAGCCCAGATCTCTTCCCTGTCTCCCATGTGGGTATAGGGTCCCAAGGCTTTGGGCCGTCCTCGACTGCTTTCTCAGGCCACAAGCAGGGAGTTGGATGGGAAGCAGGGTTGTCGGGATTAGGACTGGCGCCCCTATGGGATCCCGGTATGGTCAAGGCGAGGACTTCAGCCTCTAGACCATGGCGCCGGGCCCAGGCTTTTTATTTTAAATGTGTGTACATAAGCACATCAATACACGTGTGAATCAAATATGACCCAGTGGTTTCCAGGTTAATCTATTCTGGAGGTAATGAGGGAAAAGTGAAGAGTTTTAAATGAAAGAGAAGGAATGTATTTAGCAAGTAGGTAGGCCAGTGAGGAGCCTATTGCTAGCGTCCCAATGAGAAAATAAGGAAGGGCCGGGGGCTCCTATTGCTTCATGGCATAGTGTTGCTGTTGGAGGCTGCACCAACAGTTTGAGTAACCTAGCAACAGCAGCATCCTTCTCACCATTCCAGAGACTGAAAGGAGATGAGTCTTCTGTCCCAGATGTCTTTGTCTGGAGCCATTGGAACCAACAGGGGAAGGAAGGAAGGAGGGAAAGTAGACAGAAGAGACAGATCTTGGGACCACAGAGCTTTATCAGTTGGGAAGGAGAGATGTGAAAGGAAATCTGACAGGTGGCAGATGTTTTCAGGGACTCTGGGGAACAGATTCTGCTGATCAAACCCTTCCCCCTTACATCCCATAGCATCATTCCTCAGACCTGACACCCACGAAGAGCTGGCCTGAACTAATCATGAATCCATTGCTGGGGCTAAACTGGAATTTGTTATTGAGGAAGGAGGCATAGAACAAGCAACAGTGACTGTCGAAGGAGATAATACTGCCTTGTGGCAGATGAGTTCACCTGATGGTGTTGTTTTTATAAACTTGTAAAGCAAGACTATATTATCATCTCTCTTCCCCGATCCTGGAGCTATCGCTTTAATACGGCCTTTTCCTTCTCTTGCTGTACCTTCCACCCCTTGCCAGGCTTGGGTCCTTTCTGCAGTAGTCTGTCTCTGACTTCATCTGCAAAGTGTGGCAGAACTATACGAGAAAGCAGCTCTGCAGACCCTGTTTTGACCTGAAGGAGACCTTGTGAAATCTTTTCCACAGGAGTTCAGTGTCTTTGGGTCCTTCCTCAGATCTTGAAATCATGTATTGGATTCATCTCTCCTAGAATTGGTATCCTCACTTTACATCTAGACACCTTGCTGTTTACATAATCAAGAATTCTGCTCTCTTCCTTGCCTGGGCTGCTAATTTTGTATATTCCCAGGCTTCTTACTCATCGCCTTCTGTTCTTTTGTTCTTTTTTTAAAGAAAGTGTTTTTATTAAATATTGAGTGAATAGGAAAAAATTTTACAGTATGTAAATATATGGCATATATATACATACACATATATGTTCACATATTCATGTGGGAGATCAGGAGGAGGTTCCTAGATGCTGCTCCACTTAGGGCATTTAGGGAGCAAACCAGCAAATGAAAGGCCTGTCTTTTTTTTTTTTTTTTTTTTAAGATTTATTTATTTTTATTGGAAAGTCATATTTACAGAGAAGAAGAGATAGAAAAATATCTTCCATCTACTGGTTCTCTCCCCAGATGACCATAACAGCCAGAGCTAAGGCCATCTGAAGCAAGGATCCGGGAGATTCCTTCAGGTCTCTCATGGGGGTACATGTTCTAAGGTTTTGGGCCATCCTCCACTTTTTTCCAGGCTGGATGGGAAGTAGGGCCATCAGATGGTGAACTGGCGCCCTGTTGGGGCCCGGAGCTTGCAAGGTGAGGATTTAGACATTGAGCCATGGCACTAGTCCCTCTTATGTCTCTCTTCTCACTGTAATTCTTGTCTTTCAAATTAAAAAAAAAATTTTTTTAAGATTTGTTTTTTATTGGAAAGACAGATTTACGGAGTGAAGGAGAGACAGAAAGATCTTCCATATGCTGATTCACTCTCCAAGTGGCCACAATGGCTGGAGCTAAGCTGATCAGGAGCCAGGAGCCTCTTCCAGGTCTCCCATGTGGATGCAGAATCTCAACGCTTTGGGCTGTATTCTACTGCTTTGCTTTCCCATGCCACAGGCAGGGAGCTGGAACGGAAGTGGAGCATTTGGCATACAAACCAGCACCCATGTGGTATCCTGGCAAATGTAAGGCAAGGACTTTAGCTGCTAAGCTACTACACCAGGCCCCCAATAAAATAAATCTTTTTAAAAAAAATAGCTTGACTTTTCAAAATATTTTCCTCTGTCTGAAAAGTTGAACTGAGAGAGAACAAGAGATTGACCCAAGTACTGTGCTGTCATTCTCTACTTCCCAGGATTCATTAGGAATGAGCTGGAGCAGAAGGCAGCTGGCCAGGCTCGTGTCATGGCATAGCAAGTTAAGTCTCCTCCTGCAGCACCAGGGTCCTATGTAGGCATTGGTACCATTTCCAGCTGCTTCACTTCTGCTTCAGCTCTCTGTTAATGACCTGAGAAAGCAGCCGTAGGATGACTTAAGTCCTTGGACCCCTGCAGCCATGTGGGAGACCCAGAATGAGCTCCTGGCTCCTGACTTCATACTGGGTCAGTTCTAACTGTTGGGCATTTGGGAAATGAACCAGCAGATGATGGAATCTCCCTCTTTTTGTCTCTGTTGTAGCTCTGCTTTTCAAATAAAACTAGATACTAAAAAAAAAAAATGAGTGGCAGGGCTGGCTTTGTGATGTCATGGGTAAAGCAGGCATTTCAAGTAGGTGTCAGTTCAGGCTCTGGCTGTTCACTTCTGATCCAGCTCCGTGCTGATGTGCCTAGGAAAGCAGCAGAGGATGGCCCAAGTACTTCAACCCCTGTACCCATGCGGGAGACCACTTGGGTGAAACCCCACATTCCTATTTTAGGCTTAGATTTGACCTGACTTTTGTAGCCATTATGAGAGTGAACCACCAGGTGGAAGACTTCACTCCATCTACCTCTGCCTCTCTCACTTTGAAATAAATAAATTTTAAAATAAATGAAAAGGGGGGGAAAAAAGGTGAAGTGGCCCAGACTTGTGCTGACATCTCAATATGGTATGCAGATATCCCAAGCAGTGGCTTAACCTTCAGTGCCATAATACTGGCTGTGATTGGCAGGGGCCCATGTTGTGTTGTAGTGGTTTAAACCAGGACTCCCATATGGGTAGCAGGAGTCCAAGAGTCTGAGTCATCTTCTGCTGTGTTCCAAGATCATGAGCAGGGAACTGAGTTGGAGGAAGAGCTGCTGAGACTTGAACAAGTACATGTATGGGATGCAGGCGGCAACTTTCATCCACACACAGCACTGGTCCCTGTCTTTTATTTATTTGCTTCCATTGGAAAGGCAAAGTTACAGAGAGAAGGAGATACAGAAAGAAAGATCTTTCATCTACTGGTTCATTCCACAAATGGCTGCAACAGCTTGATCTGGAGCCAGGAGCCTCTTTAGGGTCTCCCACATGGGTGCAGGTTCCCAAGGCTCAGGCTATCCTCTACTGCTTTCCCAGACCATAAGTAGGGTGCTAGAAGGGAAGTGGAACAGCTGGGACCTGAACTGTATGGCATACTGTGCTTGGAGATGCAGAATTAGCCAGTTGAGCCATTGCGCTGGCCCCCTTAAAGTAAGTCTTTCAAAAGAAAAAGGAGAGCCTGGCACGATAGCATAGTGGTTAAAGCTCTCACCTTCAATGCACCAGGATCCCATAAGGGCACTGGTCCTAATCCTGGTGATTCTGCTTCCCATCCAGCTCCCTGCTTGTGACCTGGGAAAGCAGTCAAGGACAGCCCAAAGCTTTGGGACCCTGCACCCATGTGGAGACCCAAAAGAGGATCCTGGATTCAGATTGGCTCAGCTCCAGCTGTTGTGGCTGCTTGGGGAGTAAACCATTGGATGGAAGATCTTCCTCTCTGTCTCTAATAAA